TATATATATATATATATAGATATAGATATGAAGATTTAACCCTTGATATAACTTCTGAAGATATAAATGGCTTGAAATTCCCCCATTTTAACATCATACTTTCACAATTTTTTTAAATCATATCTGCTCAAACTATTATAGATGATTTTTTATACATGCACAAATATTTTCACCTAATTTTATTGCTAGTACCAAAAAAAAAGGAATGAATAATTTATCACACTACCTAGACTACAAATTATAGTGTCACTTCTATAAGCTTGATCTATGATCAAAGCATCTTAAAATTTCAATATAATTGGCATTGTACTAGTTGTAATTCTCAAGTTTTAGGTGAATGACCTTAAATTGTCAACTGGATGTATGATTGAAAAATAAACCAAAATAGAATCTTGTAGAAAAATATCACTGTACACATAAAAGGAAAGTACGCTTATCATATATAAAATATGGGATATAGATCTTGTTTTTATAATCTTTTAAAATTCCTTTAGCTAGAAGAATTTATAATGTGTTTGAAAAAAAAAGGGATGAAACAGTAAAACCAATTAGCTACTTGTTAATTATTCATTAAATATAAATAGATATATAAACCATAGAGATAAGAAATTATCTAGGTGTTAAAATGAAAATATGAACTATATGTATCATGAATGAAAGAACTTATTAAGATTGCAATTCAAAATGAATTGACTTGATACTTTTTAAGAATCTTATTAAGATTGCAATTCAAAATGAATTGACTTGATACTTTTTAAGAATGAAGTGTTCTGATTGAATATTGATCAGATCCAAGTTTTATTTTAATAGATAGTAGAGACTCAAGTAATTGGAAAAATATTGAAATAAGTGGCATTTTGCTGGATTCTACTTTTACAGCCTAAAGGATATGGAAGAAAAGAAATTTTTAAAAGGAATTATTTTTTAATATTATGATTGACAAAACATGTTTTTAATTTGATTGCAACATGAATAACAACAGCATTCTTATAATATTGTAGTATAATATTTCAGCAACCACTGCACATTTGATAAGATGTTTGGACTTAAATCAACTTGTATAATATGCTTTCTTTGTTGTGATCTGGAATGCACAAAAAAAGAGTAGAGGGACTGCCAGAGAATTCCCAATGCGTTGAGGACACGAAGGATTCAAATTCAAATATTGCATAAGATTTTGAAAATATTTTGAAAGCAATAGGTGGGTGCACAACTGCATTAAATGATTTTGATAGATGAAAAAGGTAACTTAAATTGACGATGTAGATTATATAGAATAAATGTTCAATATTTCCTCGCGATGAAATCCCTCTTTCTCCCATCATATATAAATTTGGGGTTGTCTTTATGAATCCCTCTTTCTCCCATCATATGCATGTTGAGCGTTGCATTTAGTGCTAAACCTACACTTATGCAACTTTTGCCCACAATAAATCAGTTCTAACTCAATTTCATCATAATCCTATGACATTGATTTGATCTGATGCATCCTCTGCACTCGTTATACAAACATAAATCAACAAAATCTACAGTCTATATAAATGTTTTAAATATATGTTACAAATACAGTTAGTCTAATACAGTCACTCAATCCATACATCCTAGTTTAGCCACAAGCCATTTCAGCATTCTCATTTTCACTACATTCAACTAGACATCACTAACTTTCAGATTCATATAACATAAATAGTTTGCTTGTTTTTTTTTAATTAAATTTAAATCAAAATCCCAAAGATACCACCAAGTACTCTAAAAAGTACTTTTCCATTTTAACCACCTAATTTTAAGTAGATTCAAAATACTCAAAATATATCAAACATAATTTCAAATCATAATAATATTAGCTAATAGTAATATCATGCTTATAAATCGCATATCAAATATTTGGCCTACGTTCTTTCCTCAACCCTATAAAAAAGGAGTTGAGAGTACATAATTTTTTGCTTTTATTTGTATCTTTTATCATTCATAAACAAAGCAATAAGCCTGCACATGATTGTTGAAAAACAAAAGAATTCGCCTTAGATAATTATGAGATGAAGCTGATCTAAACTAATCAAAAATCTTCAATAGTTAAGTACAGAGTTAATAAGCTAGATGAGCACAATACAAATATTTCACATTTTCACGAATGGAATATAAAATTTTGAATTTGATAACACGGAATTCACATACTAGATGTCTCATTTAAAAATTTACAGAATAAGAATCGGGCATGTTTTATTTCCCTGGTCAAAATCATGTGCCAGTTACTGTCATCTACTTAAAAAATTATAATATACCTAAATGAAGGTCTATTATTAAAATTCATTATATAAGAAAAAAAAGATGCACTTAGGAAAAGCATCCACCTGAATAAGTGAATAAATTTTGGGACTACGCAAAAACTTGAACAATCCATCTGATGTATACAAAATGCATTTCCGTCAAACTGAATTAATCTATTACAGTTATCTCGCATTTTGCCTTACCGGGTACATAACTTCCAGCCAAACCTCTTCTGTGAGCAGTTAAATGCATTGATTTAATGGATTTTTCCCAATGGCTGCTTTCCGGGTGTTTTTTAGGATCAATGGCAAGTTTATATCCTGCATACTGAGGCCAAAATAAACGCATACACTTAATAAATATGATCCAATAATAGGCCCAAAATTCGTCACATAATTGGTAAATTCAGATTGACGCGAAATAAACATTTACCATAAAAGAATCTGTGGCCTACTGACCAAATCCTAGTACTTAAAAAAATAAAAGCAATTTTTCAGAATGAAGATATCAAGATAATCATTATCATTTGCCTCTAGAATATTTTGGGCCATCTTTTATCAATCTTCCTGTCATTCATGCCTTTAAACGCCTCATGTGCTGTGGAAAGGTTAGGAAACAATAGACCTAAGATGATATGATAAAGTTTTTTGAAATAATGTAAAAAACAAGTTTAAAAACTCATGCAAGCGCTCAATGGGAATAAATGCAAAAGAAGGATTCATAAATGATGGAGAAAAGAAAATACTATTGATGCCAGTTTAATTAGTAACCCTTGTTGATGATCTGAAAACTTTGATTTCTTCAACTTGCTCATTCAATTTCCCTATAAAATTCTTCTTTTGAATTTTAAGAAATCCCAACAGGAGATAAATTTGTCTTGTATTTCTTGGGATTTGCAACAGCCGAGAGCAGAGGAGTACAGAAATTGCTATCTTGCTATCTTATGAGAAATGAAAGAGTTGCCTCGGTTATGTGTATGGGATAGCTTAGACCTTCGATTTTCTCTCATGTATTACCAGTTAGACTGAGAGAGACGATAGAAATTGAGGAGAGAATCTGTCAATTTTTATTTATAATTCATTGATCCGAATTGCATCCATTCAAACCATATATTCAAAAAAGGGTAGATAAAACTAGACTAACTTGCATTCAAATCTAGACAACTAAAATAATAATAATTTAAATTCAAATAGCATCCACTCAACCCCACTAATTACAATCTAATTTTAAATAATAAGAAGCTAAAAGTATAATTAAAAAAAAATCTAGAATAATATAAACTAAGCTTCTTGAATTGCATCACATATTGACCGCCCCAAATAACTGGGGAATGACACTAATGAAGAAATTGTTACTTCAAGCTTATGCTCCAGCGCCTAGCTTGAAGAAGAGGAATTGACTAGGGGTGCCTTTGCCCCAGACGCAGCAAATGCCACAATATTGCCCCGAATCAGTTCGAACCAAGCAATGGGGGGCAGTCCAATCCATCCAAGCATGGATTTCCTTCCTTTTTGGAGCAAAGCCCACCCCTCTTTACCCTAGGTATATATATACATACATAACATACATACATGCATATATATATATATA